AAAATAAGTCTTTGAAAAGCATGATGCTGCTACTGTTGGAACTTTATAGCTTCCTGACCATAAACAGGAGCAGCTTGCCATGGGACCATAATTAGCTGAAATCTCCCTTGCCTGTTCTGTTAAGTCTTCCTCTTAACTCTCTGCTACCATATGCATTATCTATGGCTTTGGGGCTCTTTATTTCTTTTATTCTCTCCTCCTTTCTCTTCTTTCCACATGTCTCTTTCCTGATCTCTGCATCTGTCCTTTTTCTTCTTTCTAGGAGTCTTTGAATTTCCCTCTCTCAGTGTGTTTCTATCTGATATGCCAAGTACTTCTGTCAGTGTATAAAGTCTAATTTGTCAGTGCAGCCACACTGAGTATCCATAAACACATATCTTCCTCATATATTTACAAAGATGATCTTCCAAATGTCAGTGCATATCCTAGGACCTGCCATGCTTCCTACCAATCTTGGGACTCCTATCACCGTATGTCCTTAAACCTGTTCTGGCCCAACTGTCTCCACTCAGAAAACAAGGACACAGATCTGTGGGCAAGTATGTGAATGGGTCAGGAGTACTGAGGGCATGACCGTGTGCTTTAAGGCCAATGCTGTGCTGTCTAAAATAACACACTTAAGATTCCACAATCTAGCATAGGAATCCTGCATTTTCTTTGACCCAACAAACCTGCATCTGGACAATTATTTTGAAGATGTACACAAAGATTTAGCTATAACGACAACTTGAATGAATCTTGAAAACATTATATTGAGTTGAAAAAGGACAAATAATTTATGATCCCACTTATATGAAATAGGCAAATGTATAAGGACTAAAGTTTATTAGTGGTTACCAGGGATGAGAGGGAAGAGGAAAGGGGGAGTCATTGCTTAGAGGACACTGAGTTTCTATTAATGGCAGTGAAATAATTTGGAAAAGGATAGTGGTGATAGTTGCATAGCATGATGAACATATCAACGTCACTAAATCATACATGTAAAAATTGTTGAATTGGCAAATGTTTTGTTATGTATATTTTTGCTGTTGTTAGACCCATAGTAACCCCATGTGACAGAATAGAACTTCCTCATGGGGTTTTCTTGGCTGTAATCTTTACGGAAGCATCTGGCCTTGTCTTTATCCCATAGAGCTGCTGGGTGGATTTGAACAGCCAACCTTTGGGTTAGCAGCCGGATATTTAACGGTTTGCACCACCAGGGCTCCTTTATTTTTACCACAAAAAAAAAAAAAAAAAAGATACTATTATAAGGATGTTTGTTGGTTGGCAACCTCCATTTATCTGGCATTCTATTTCCTTAGTGTATTCATTATCCATTACTGTGTAACAAGTTATCTCAAAACTTAGCAGCTTAAAACAACACAAATATTTTCTATCTCATGCAATTTCTGTGGCTCAAGAGTTTGGAAGGACTTTAGTTTGGTAGTTTTGGCTCTGGGTCTCTTATAATGTTGCAGTCAAGATGTCAGCTGTGGCTACAGTCATCTTAAGGCTTGACTAGGGTTGAAGAATCCATTTCTAAGATAGCTATTCTCAAGGCTGGCAGATTGGTGCTATCTGTTGGTAGGCGGTCTCAGTTTGTCTTCCCATGAACCTCTCCAATAAGGCAGCTTGTACATCGTCACAACATGGAGGCTGTCTTCACCAAGAGCCATAATCCCAATGAGAGAAGGTAGAAGCTATAATGACTTTTATGACCTAACCTTGAAAGTGACACACCGTAATTTCTGCTGTATTTGTTGGTCACACAGACCAATCCTGGCATACTGTGGGAGTAGTCTACAGAGGGTATGGATGCCAGGAACCAAGGATCATTGAACCTCAACTTGAAGGCTGGCTACCACATATGGGGAAGTCTTCATCAAGAGATATATCCTTGGTCTCTGTGAGTTTGGGAGAAGTACAGAGTTCATCTAGCCCTGGTAGTTCTGGACTTTTTCTCTTTGTGCTTGCCTGCAAATAGATGTGCATTCTGCCTGCTCTTTTGTCATCCAGTCTTAGCATAACAAGTTCTGCTTCTATTGAACAGTGGTAACTTGGAGGAGAACATTGTCTGACTCACTTTCTTTGAACACATAATCAGGAAGGATCAAGTGCTAGAGAAGGACATCATGTCTTGCAAAGTAGAGGGCCAAAGAGGGCATGGGAGATCCTTAGTGAAATGGATTGGCACAGTGGCCACAACTACGAACTTGAACATGCTGGCAATTGTGAGGATGATGTGGAACTGGGCATTGTTTCATTCTGTTGTACATGGGGTCACCATGAGTGAACAACTCATGTTAACAACAAGTTTGGAGGGGTGGTGATTTTGTCTACGTGATTTGGTTCTAGATCTAGTTACATTTCCTACTCATCTTTTCAAAAATGAAGCAGATATTTCCATCTCTACCTGTGTCTTATTCCTCAGGGTGTTTTTTATTTGGTCCCCCTGAATCTCCAAAAATGTTCGCTACATATTATAATGTAATCTTTATAACAGGGGAAAACTAAAAGCAACCTAAATGTCAAACAATAGATTGCTTAAGCATATTATAGCATATTCATGCAATTCAGTATAATGTAATCATTTAAAAGTATGCTATATAAAACGATTTAATGGTATGGAAAATGGTTTAGGATATATTAAGTGAAGATCACAGGTTATAAAATAGCATGCAAATATTGCTTCATTAAAAAATAATGCATATATGCTTTGAAAAGGACTCCAAGGATATATATATATATACACCCAAGTAACCAATTGTAGTTATCACTGGTCGGTAGGTTTATGGGTAATTATAATTTCCTTCATTTTGGCTAATCTTTTTTTCCTAAATTTAATGCATTTTATACTCATTACCTTTGTGATGAGAAAAAAGAGAAAGTTTTGCAGATGCTGGTTTGGGGGTTCAATTAAAAGTAATTAGAGATTTTTAACATCCTTTATTGGGGAGATAGTAAGGCATTTGGGTGTCCCCCAAGCCACTTCCCACTTCCATAAGTTCATTTGACACTACTGATCACTGCCTCTTTTTGAATCACTCTCTTCTCTTGGCTTTCTTGACTCCACACTGTTTTTCTGCTTTCTCTGTGGTCACACCTTATAGACTCATACTCCTCTATGCAGCCTTTAAGTGTTGGAGTTTCTCAAAGCTGAGCTGTAGACCTTTTTTCCTTCCCACTGTATACTCTGCTGCTAATTGACTTCACCCACATCCATGTCTTGACAAGCCAGTTACCCACAGATCATATGAAAAGCATATCTCTGACCCGATCTCCCTCTGAGCTCCTATGATTTATGCACTGCGTAACTGTCTAATTCAAATGAGGTCTCAAAACCTCCTCAAGTTCAGCATACCCAAAGCCTGCCTCATGATCTTCAGTGGTTTCCATGACAGTGAAGGACAAAATCATCCATCTATTTCAGGGATTCTCAATCTGGGTATGTATAGAAATCATCTGGGAAGGCTTTAAAATGCCTATACCCACTCTTCCAAATGTTCTGGTTTAAAAAGTCTGGGGTCAGATCCTAGCATCAGTATTTTTTTAAAGACCCCCAATTGATTTTAATGAGTAGACATTGTTGAGCGTCACTTTCCCTTGCCCATTTAGTGTAACCCTCATGTCTTAGTTATCTAGTGCTGCTATAACAGAAATACCACGAATGGATGGCTTTAACAAACAGAAGTTTACTCCCTCACAGTCTGTTAGGCTAGAAGTCCAAATTCAGAGTGCCAGCTCCAGGAGAAGGCTTTCTGTCTCTGTCAGCTCTGGAGGAAGGTCCTTGTCATCAATCTTCTCCTGGTCTAGGAGCTTCTCTGCACAGGAACCCCAGGTCGAAAGGACACCCTCTGCTCCCTACGCTGCTTTCTTGGTAATATGAAGTTCCCTACTCTCTGCTCTCTTCCCTTTCCTTTTATCTCTTGTAAGATAAAAGGCAATGCAGGCCACACGCCAGGGAAACTCCCTTTACATTGGATCAGGGATGTGACCTGAGCAAGGGTGTTACATCCCACCCTAATCCTATTTAACATAATCTAATCTTGCCACATTAACCACAGGCAGAGATTAGGATTTACAACACATAGGAAAATTACATCAATCACAAAATGGAGGACAACTATAAAATACTGGGAATCATGGCCTAACCAAGTTGACACATATTTTTGGGGGACACAATTCAATCCATGACACCCCGTTACCAAGTTTAATCAATTTAACCTCTAACATATTGATCAAAATTATCCTTAAGTCTTTGTCTTCACTGTCACCACTCTAATCTAAACTACCACATCTCTCTCTTGGATTTTCAATGTATTCTGAATAATATATAAAACCTGAAGTTGCAATCTCTTCCCCTCCTATGGTGAGCGCACCCTAAGTTGACTTCTTCAATGGGTCAGACCCTTGTATAATCCTCTCCCTTTTAGGGCAGACAGAATCTGCTTCTAACCAATAGAATATGACTTACTGCTAACCAGCAGAATATGGCAAAGGTGATAAGGTGTCACTCTCATGATTACATTACAGTATATAAGACACCATTGTAGCAGAAGGGAAAGAGAGATTCTCCTGCTGGCCTTGAGGAAGTAAACACTATGTTGTGAACTGCCTATGGAGAAGGCCATGTGGCAGGGAACTGCAGATGGCCTCCAGGATCACCTCTAGCCAACAGCCAGAAAGAAGCAAGGCCCTCAGTCCTACAACCACAAGGAAATGAATTTTGCCAACAACCCAAATGAGCTTGGAAGTGAATTCTTTCCTAGTGGAGTCTCCAGATGAGAATGCAGCCCAGCCAACACCTTGATTTCAGCCTTATGAGACCCTGAGCAAAGGACCAAGTTAAGCCAAGCATAGACTACTGACTCATGGAAACTATGCGATAACAACTGTGTGTTGGTTTAAGTGGCTAGATTTTTGTTAATTTGTTATGCAGCTATAGAAAACTCGTATATCTTCCTACCCTCAACCCCCAAATCCATCAGTCATTCAAGGTTTTGCATCACTCTATAGTTATTAAGAAAAAATCATCAAAATGACTTATAAAATTATGAATGTCTCTACCCACCTCTCTAGCTTCATACATTCCACCTTGCTCTGTGAGCCAGCCACACAGACCTTCTTTAAGTACCTTGGATTAGTCTACTGTCCTGCAACCACATGGCATTTGCTCCTGATGTTGCCTTGAGGGCTCTGTTTAACTAGGTAGCTCTTACTCAACCCACAGGTCTTCAGTTCCAGCATCACTTCTTTGAGGAAGCCTTCCTTGAATCTCCCTGTCAGGATTAAAGTCCCATTAGTGCCTCCTGTAGAATTGTGTCTCTCTTACTCATAGCAATTGTCAATTATGATTTTACATATTTATTTTGATCTTTGTTTGATTAAAGTTTATCTCTGCCACTAGTCCGCAAGTTCAATGAAGACTGGAACATTACCCATTTTGGCTGATCATTTTATCCCTATTGCCTAGCAGAGTGGAGCCCTGGTGGTGCAGTGGTTAAGAGCTCAGCTGTTAACTGAAAGCTCAGCAGTTCGAATCCACTAGCCACTCCTTGGAAACCCTATAGAGTAGTTCTACTCTGTCCTATAGGGTTGCTATGAGTCAGAATCGACTCAATGGCAACAGGTTTTTTTTTTTCCTAGCATAGTAACTAACACATAATAACCCATTGACGTTGAGTCGATTCCAATTGATAGCATCCTTATACGACAGAGTAGAGCTGCCCCATAGGGTTTCCAAGGAGCGGCTGGTGGATTTGAACTGCAGACCTTTTGGTTAGCAACCAAGCTCTTAACCACTGCACCACCAGGGCCCCATCACACATAATAGGTACTCAAATTGTTCCTTGAATGAATGAAAAGAGAAGTGGATGCTGTTTTTAGGACCCCACTTCACACCAGTGAATCCAGATTAGAGCACTGGATCTTGCCTCATCCCATTGGATCCAGATTAGAGCAAGGTTTATAAAATGAGGCTGATCCTCAGTCCATATCCAACCATGGGAGCTCCAGGTATGGCCTAGGCTTTGAGGAACACAAACTACAATCAGCCAAATATCCATCAATTTTTATTCTTCAGGCAAAGGATTATTAATGGCCAACAACTGTATGTAAGGTGATGTGCTAGTTACCACGCAGGCTTCTGAGAGGTACGATGCAAAATCTCTGGCTTCCAATGACAGGCAAGGACCCATTTTAGGGCTTCAAGGGAAAACTGAATATACCTTCCACTTTCTCTTTTATTAAAGAAATAGTCCTTTATGATACAACTGATGAAGTTGAAATTGCCTGAAAAATCCTGTTGAAGTCCATCTTAATTAAAAGAGAGATAAGTTAGAAGACAATAAACTAAGGTTATAGATGTGCCATCCCAAGCCTTCTAGAGCTCTTACATGCCCAAGTTCTATTAAACACCTCTTATAAATTATGAGGAACTATAAATAGTATTTTTTTCACAAAATATTGAGTAGTTGCTACACGTTAATCACTCATCAATTTCCTTGATTATATGGTGGTTACATTCCTTGGTGGGGCAGAGACAGTAAACATATCAACAAATAAATATATAATGTGTCAGGTAGTAATAAGTGCCCTGGAGAAGAACAAACCAGGGTAAGGGGTTAGAGAGCCATGGTGGGGTATGCTATTTTACATAGAATGCTCAAGCAATAAGGTGGTATTTGAGCCAACAGTTAAAGCAAATGAGGCAGAAACCCAAGGGGATATCTGGAGGATAAAAGCATGCCAGGCTGAGAGAGGAGCAAGTGCAGGTAGAAGCTTGCTTTGCTTGCAAGAGAAATAGCAAAAAGACTGAAAGAGCTAGAGAGCAGTGAGTGAGTAAGTGGGACAGTAGGAGGAGATGAGGTCAGATATGTAGAAGGAGACTAGATTGTGTAAACCCTGTAGAGACCTGGGCCTTTAACTTGAGTGTGACATTACATTTTAAAAGACTTGCTGTGGCTGTTGTGGTGGTTGGTTAGTTCTCAGGAGTCAAAGGTGACCAGTTCAGAGGTCAGACCAATGGACAGGGTCAAAGATGATGGTAGCTTCTACTCAGGCTGGTAGCTGTGAAGGTGTTGAAAAAAGTTAGATTCTGTATATATTTTAAATTTCAAGTTGTCAGTATTTACTAATGGATTGGTTGAGAGGAAGAAGGGAAAGAGAGGAGTCTGGCCATCCTCTAGAACTCAAGGCAATTTTATTTTTAAAAAGCAGACATTCTTCACCCTCTTTCCCACCCTGTTTTTCCTACAATAACATCAACAAAACAATTTTGGGACATGCTTGATTCTCAGATTTCTTCACCTCAATAAAATTTAAAAATTTGGATGCTAAGAAGCAGTTTTTTCCTCTGAAAATGGTATCTGCCTTTTCTACATCTCCACTGACGAAAGATGAGAGAAATGCTTTCCGCTGTAGAATGACAGGTTCCACTCCAATACAAAATAAATGCAGATCTGATGCTGTGCCTCACTAAATATGAGAATGAATGACTAAAAAAACTCTCCACTTCAATGTGCCTGGGACATTAGTGGGAAGGTTGGTGGCCTCTCCAGTGTCCTCCCATTTCTGTAACTCGGTTCTCAGAAGGAGCTGATCACCAAAATTATCCAATAATCATCCTCTCTGCTGGTCTCATGCTCTGCAGATTTGGCCTTAAAAAGTCAAATAGAAAGTTCTCCAGTGTGTATGGCCAAAGTTGGAAATCAAAACCACCCCAACCCTGCAAATAGGTCATTGATTTTCCTCAAGTTTGGCCTACAACCGCTGTCTTTAAGAGAATTATCATGCTGCCAAGTTTTAAAGTTTATGACTTCAACTGTTTGGGAGGAATGAGACCTAATAAGGGTGAAAGATCTTTACTACCATTGGTTCATGTGCTTCTACTCTTCCCCATCTTGCAATAAGTAAAAGAATCTCTGAGGTGGTTTTCTTTTTTTTTTTCCTTTTCCTAAAACATTACTTGAGGGATAAAAATAGAATGAAACATCTATGTGAAGGGTGAGCATTAATAAGGTATGTGTGTGTGTTTATGTACCTGTGACTGTATATTTCCTTTCAGGATTAGGAAGGGAGATGTCAGATACAAGTATGACTAAAAGGAGGGAAAACAAAAACCAAAATGGCCTTTCCCTCTTTTGATTCTCAGAAACCTCCTAATTGCCAAATTTAAAGGGCATTTTGCAGGCTAACCTGTCTTTTCTAGCAGCTTGTGACAGCAGCAGTACTGCTCTTCCTGAAACACATTCCTTCATTCAACAGTTGTTGTTAAATGATAGACTGAGCATTCATTATGTATCAAGAAGAAATGGGGATACAAAGAGGGATGAGGTGTCGGCTACCTTAGGATCATGGAGTTTCTTCTGGTGTCCCTTCTCAGACTAGTCCTTCTATGCTCATATGCTTTCCTTTGCCCACCCTTTAAACAGAGGTGCCTTCCTTGGAGGACTTTTCTCTTCTTTCTTAAGGTTTCTGAACTCCCACAGTTTTTACTATCACCTATACAGCCATGTCTCCCAATTTTACATCTTAAACCAAGATCTCATACCTGAGCTTCAAACTATGTATGTGTGTGAGTGTGCATGTGAGTATGCATGCAAGCCTGATTGGATTTGTTAAAATTAAATAGGTACTACATGCCCATTGCAACATATAAAACAATACAGAGGTGTAAGAACGTTAATTATTTCTTCCTTCCCTCTCCAGTTACACCACTCTGAATAAGTAATGTTACAAACTTGGCATGTGTCTTAGTTATCTAGTGCTGCTATAACAGATATACCACAAGTAGATGGCTTTAACAAAGAGAAATTTATTCTCTCACAGTCTTGGAGGCTAGAAGTCAGAGTTCAGGGCACCAGCTCCAGGGGAAGGCTTTCTTTTTCTGCTGGCTCTGGGGGAAGGTCCTTGTTATCAATCTTCCCCTGGTCTAGGAGCTTCTCAACGAAGGGACCCTGGGTCCAAAGGATGCAGTCTGCTCCTGGCATTACTTTCTTGGTGTTATGAGGTCCCCCTGTCTCTCTGCTTGCTTCTCTCTTTTATATCTCAAAAAAGATTGATTCAAGAGACAACCTAATCTTGTAGATTGAGTCCTGCCTCATTAACATAACTACCTCTAATCCTGCCTCATTAACATCATGGAGGTAAGATTTACACCACATAGGAAAATCACGTCAGATGGCACAATACTGGGAATCATGGCCTAGCCAAGTTGACACACATTTTTTGGGGACACAATTCAATCCATAACATTCCACCCTTTGGCCCCACAAAATTCATATCCTTGCCACATGTAAAACACATTCACCCCATCATATCATAGCTAAAGTCTTAGATCAACTCCAAGTCCAAAATCCAAAAATTCCTCTTCATCTGTGAAATCTAGAATACAAGTTATCTGCTTCCAAAGTACAATGGTGGAACAGTCTCAAGCTAGATGTTTCCATTACAAATGGGAGAAGTTGAAGGGAAAGAAGGGATAACAGGCACCAAGCAAGTCAACAGAACAATTACATTAGCCCCCAAGGCTTGAAAATAATCCTCTGTTCTCTGAGACCATTTAGGCAATGGCCCTGCCCTCCAAATTCTGGGTGTTGGCCACACTCTCCAGATTCTCAGTGTAGGCCCCTCAGCCCAGGGCTTCAGCTCAGCCTTCCAGGCCCACTGGAATGGCAACACTGCTCCCTCACATTTGGGCAGCCCCATTCTCCTAGTTCATCTGAGTTGCAACTCCACTCTTTGAGACCCCAGAGGTCTTAACCCTACTCTTTGAGACTGAGGTAGCTCTGCTTCCTGTGTTATCTCTTCAGCTTCTGCTTCCTGGTTCCTTGGCCTCTTGGCCCCTCACCACCAGTGTCTGCCCTGCTGGGACAAGTGTTCCAAAGCTCTTTAGCTCCACCTATAAGTCCCCAGAGGCACCCTACTCTGCCAGAAGCCTCCTCCCAAAGGCACTCAGCTCTCTCACTCTGTGGGTTGGCTCCAGCGCTGGCTCACGCTTGTCTCCTGGTTCTGCTGCTGCTTCTCGCCACTTCTGCCATCATCTCCAGTGTAATGGCTCTCCTCGTTTCCTTCTGAGTCCTCACCAGAATTGTCTGATGTCCATAATTCCACCAACAGTCTCTTCAAGGCAATCTAGGCTTTTACTATTAGGTGCTTTAACATTCTTCCAGCTTCTACCCATTCACAGTTTCAAAACCAGTACCAAATTCTGTCTTAGTTATCTAGTGCCGCTACAACAAAAATACCACAAGTGGATGGCTTTAACAAAGAGAAATTTATTCTCTGGCTTTACTCTCTCTAACTTTAGCTTGTCACCCTCGCACATCCCCCCACCCCCATGTGTCCCCTCATCCACCTTACTTCCCACCCCATTCAGGCTATGCTTTGATATAGTCCATGCTCTTTCCTGTTTCTGTCCCTTTACATGTGCACTTCCCTCTTCCTGGAGTGGAGGTGGGACAATCTTCCCTTCTTCTCAGCACAGAGGTTGAAAGTGGATACTCTGAGCAAGACTGCCTGGGTTTGATCCTTCTTCTGTCGTTTGGTCTCTGTGTAACTTTGAGCAGAGTATTTAACCAATCTGTGTTTCAGTTTCCCTATTGCAGTGGTTCTCACACGTGTGTGCATCAGAATCAATTGAAGGGCTCACTAAAACACAGACTGCTGAACCCCAGTCACAGAGTTTCTGAGTCAATAGGTCTGGGATTGTTGCTGTTGTTACTTGCCATCAAATCAGCTCCTGACTCATGGCAACCCCACGCACAGAACAAAACGCTGCCTGGTCTTGCACCATTCCCATGATCAGTTAAGGACGGAACTGTTGTGACCCATATGGTTTTCATTGGCTGATTTTCAGAAAACAATCTCCAGGTCTTTCTTCCTAGTCCATCTTAGTCTGAAGCTCCTACTGAAACTTGTTCAGAATCATAGCAATACACAAGCCTCCACTGACAGACAGGTGGTGGCTGCACATGAAGTGCATTGACGGGGAATCGAACCTGGGGCTCCTACATAGAAGGCAAGGAGTCTGTCACTGAATCACCAATGCCCCCAGGTCTGGGATAGAGACTGAGAACTTACATTTCTAACATATTCCCAGATAATGCTGCTAGTGGAGGAAGCACACTTTGAGAACCATATCCCTGTTATAAAATGGGGCTAATATTAGCAATTACCTCATAAATTTGTCCTTGGAACGATTAGATGAGTTACAGGGACAAGTTCTCAGAGCAGTGACTGGTTATGCTAATTACCCAATGAATGGTAGCTATCAGTATTATTTTCTGCCTGGCAGAATCCTACATGCTTGTCATCTGTCATCTTTTTTTATTTTTTATTTTATTGTGTTTTAGGTGAAAGTTTACAGTGCAAATTAGTTTCTCATTCAAAAATTTATACACAAATTGTTTTGTGACATTGGTTGCAATCCCCACAATGTGTGAGCACTCTCCCCCATTCTCTCTACACACGGGTTCCCTGTGTCCATTCCTCCAGGTTTCCTGTCCCTTCCTGCCTTCTGGTCTTTGCTTTTGGGGAGGTGTTGCCCATTTGGTCTTGTATACTTGATTGGACTAAGAACCATGTTCCTCAAGTGTGTTATCTGTTTTATAGGCCCGTCTAATCATTGGCTATTGACTCAACAGCAACGGGTTTGTTTTGTTTTTAATCGTTGTCCAAAAGGTGGACTTAGGGAGTCGCTTCAGTTCTAAGTTAGCAGGGTATCCGGGGGCCATAGTTTTGGGAGTACCTCCAATCTCTGTCAAACTAGTAAGTCTGGTCTTTTTCTGTTGACTTTTGCTCTACATTTTTTTCCCCACTCTGTATGAAACCCTCTACTGTGATCCCTGTCAGAGTGGTCAGTGGTGGTAGCTGGGCATCATTTAGTTCTTTTTGGCCTCAGGCTGGTGGAGGCTCTGGTTCATGTGGTCCACTAGCCCTTTGGACCAATATTTTCCTTGTATCTTTGGTTTTCTTTGCTCTAAATGTGACGAGACTGATAGATGTATTTTAGATGGCCACTCACAAGCTTTGAAGACCCCAGACGCTACTCATCAAAGTAGGATG